CGGCACATACCTAGGTTGCAGGTTCCATCCCCAGTCGGGCACGTACCGTGAGGCGGCCAATGGATGTTCTCTCACATCGATGTTTCTCCCTCTCCCTCCTTCCCCTCTCTCTGAAATCAATAGGCATATCCTCCCGTCAGGCCACACAGAGCTCGGAGTGCCAGGCTGAGGGTTTGGACCTTCTCCCAGGGGCGATGGGGAGCCAGGGAGGGGCTGTGAACAGGAGAGGGGCAGAGTCCGCTCTGGGACCCCATGGGAGACTGACGAGGGGAGGAACTGGAGGCCAGGAGCCAGGGAGAGGGTTCAGGGAGAGGACGAGGCCTGAGCTGCAGCAGGGACCCCTTTGGGACGCCAGGGCTACAGCCCAATGTCCCTCCCCTGTGCACTCCCCACGTATTCCCAGCCAGACACAGAGTAAAGGCAAACTCTTTTATTTCTGTTTTAAGGAAGCGATCACCATTTTCTCTCCACTTGGAAGCCCAGGGTGATGCCGGGTCAAGAAGGCACGGACAGAAGGGGCATCGCCACCATCAATTGCTGAGGAGAGGAAAGGGAGAGGGTTCAGGACCCAGGAGTCCCGGCCCCCATGTCTCCGCTTCCCCGCACCACCCCCCACCCCAGGTACCCTTCTCTTCCGGTGGAAGGCCGCCTTGCTCTCATCAGCGTTGATCCGCAGGGGGATGTAGGCATCCAGATGGTACAGCTGCTGGGGGCCCCCCATCACCAGGCGGTTCTCCCCAATCTCCAGCGACAGCCCTAGAGCTCCATCCTGGAGATAGATTGGAATCAGCCCCTACCTTCCCTTCCGGCAACAGGACACAGGATGATGAAAACAGGGGCCGAGAGAGCAGGCTCACGTGCTGGGAGACCGTATTTAAAGGGTCTAACCTTCCAGGGAAAAGGGGGGGGGGTACGGTAACTACAGTTCTCCACGTTGGGTCACTTACAATGCCCTGGGTACCCTTGGGACAGCCCCGGAAGTGGGCCCGAGGGCCCTAAACTCAGACGGCAGCACTAGCGGGCTGGCAACCAGCCCCGGCCACTCTCCCTCCCACACCCCAACCTCATTCTCCAGCTCAGGTCAGGGCACACCCACCAGCTTGGGGAGGTCAATTTCCGCCAAAAGGAGGTCAGGGGCTTCCAGCCAGAGGTTCAGGTGAGGCTTCTCAGGGCTGAGGAGGAACAAGAGCCAGAACTGAGGGGAGCCCCAGGTCCTCGGGGGTGCTGCCCCTGCCTGGCATGTGCTGCCTCCTTTCTCGCCAGCATGCGGCCTCGGGGTGGTCTGGGGGTTCCCAGA